CGATTCCCCCCTGGTCCGCGGCAGCTCCGGCTCAAGCAAAGAAGCCGTAGTATGTGGAGTGTACTTCTGGCGGCTCCGACCGGAAAATCGCAACCCTGAAGCACAGACGTATAGTGCGCGGAGCACCTCCACAGCTCAGCTCAGGCATCTTGCGCACAGATACAAGCGCCGAGCGTCTTGCGGAGAGAAACTTGCACAACGTGCGCAGAACAGCTTGAAGACAGATGTCGAGCCACTTGCGTGCAGCAGCTTGCAGAGAGCAACTTGCGCGCAGCAGCCTGGAACAATGCAGCTTGCGCAGACACTGCCATGTTTCCTCTCGTAGGACGATGAGATGGAGCTCTCATGTGAGGATACACATTGAGCATCGCCGCGTGCAGACGCGCTCGCCGCATCGATGTAAAAAGGTGTCTCCGCGGCTGGAAGAGCGCTTGGGGAAAAATGCTTTCGGGGCAATCGTCCTCTAGTTTCCCGAGGTGTTTTGCGATTCTTGCGGCGCCCGCGCGAAGCTGTGCGGGGATGGGCGTGGTCGAGGTGCAAAAACTCGAGGTGTTTTTTTTTTGCGTTTTTGCGGTGCGGGGATGAACCCTCTGCGGGGATCGTGCGGGTCGACGCGCTCTCGCTGTGGTTGAAGCGCTCTCGCTGTGGCGCCGTGCGATTTTACTTCTCGTGAAATGGCCTTTGGAAGTTGTCTCGTGGTTTGTGCGCCTGCTTTCGCAATCGCGCGGTCGCGGGTTCGATTCCCCCCTGGTCCGCGGCAGCTCCGGCTCAAGCAAAGAAGCCGTAGTATGTGGAGTGTACTTCTGGCGGCTCCGACCGGAAAATCGCAACCCTGAAGCACAGACGTATAGTGCGCGGAGCACCTCCACAGCTCAGCTCAGGCTGAGCATCTTGCGCACGGATACAAGCGCCGAGCGTCTTGCGGAGAGAAACTTGCACAACGTGCACAGGACAGCTTGAAGACAGATGTCGAGCCACTTGCGTGCAGCAGCTTGTAGAGAGCAACTTGCGCGCAGCAGCCTGGAACAATGCAGCTTGCGCTGACACTGCCATGTTTCCTCTCGTAGGACGATGAGATGGAGCTCTCATGTGAGCATACACATTGAGCATCGCCGCGTGCAGACGCGCTCGCCGCATCGATGTAAAAAGGTGTCTCCGCGGCTGGAAGAGCGCTTGGGGAAAAATGCTTTCGGGGCAATCGTCCTCCAGTTGTATTATCCCCGTTTGTTCGGCTTTGTTGGTGACACTTTGGCTTTCCTTGGGTCGCACTTTGGTTTCCATTCATTCCCAAAGAGCCGCTCTCAAGAAGGGCAAGGGTCTTGTCTGTGCTCGTTGCAGTCCGTTGGGCCCGAGTCCACAAAAGAAGGCCGGATGCCAGGCCCCAGAATGCGACAAGCGCTAAACGCGACAAACGCTACAATGTCAGTGGAACCCGTTCAAGGGAAGCCCTCTAAAACAGCCAGCATTTTGTTGGGGTGTTGTGGCTGGATCTGGTTGGTTCACTTCCAATATGTGAGGCATCCACCGTGTATGCGGCTCATTTCAGTCGCCTTGTGCTTGAGGAGATTGCTCAACGAGCTTCTCCAGAGCATGCAGCAGGACTTGGACCGAGGCGGGGTTTGCTGCTGGGGGTTTGCTTCTTAGGTCGGGCAAAGGTCACAGTGTAGATATCACAACAGGGGAGATTCCAGTGGTGGATTCGATTCCAGTGGTTGAGACCTGAGGGGTCTGGTAGAGGTGCAATCTTCTGCAAGGGAGTGCTAAGCAAGCTGCATCATGCCCAGGGCTTTAACAAGCTGAGCAATTTATTGGACTGGCATCCTTGCCGTTTGGGCCGTTTTCAAGTTGATCTACCGGTTTCCCCTGCGGGGTTGTTGGCGGCCATGTTTTTCTTCAGACCTGGGCTTAGCTTTTTGGTTGTTGCCAGGCCCGAACCCTCTTTTGGGCTGCCTCAAAAACAGGCAGCGCAAGCCGTCCAGCAATTCAATGTATCCTTCCCGGGTTCACTATTGTCGAATGGTCAACTGCGCAACTATCAAGGTTTCCAGTCGTTTGCAACTTGGATGCGAGGGGATGTACTGACAATGCATCCATTCGCGGCTTGGGGCCCTTAGGTTTTGGACAGAAATTGGAAAATCACAGCCATCGAAACTCCGGACTTCACTGTCTGCCTTTGCGACTTGTTCTCCCCTATCAGGCTATGTTTTTGGACGCCCGGCCCTGGATCCAGTGTTGATAGAGTGAGGATAAATTGTCCCGTTGAACAAAAATGGTTGCAAGGTTGAACACCCCGGAACCTGCTCTAGTCTCAAATTTGGGGCTTTCCCTTTTCGGCACCAGGCGGACTTGGGCGACCCAAATGGGTGTGGCTCAAAATTAAACAGGCGGGGCAAACCGCAGGTTTTGGTCCATGTTTCCACTTACCAGGATGCCCTACCATTTCGGAATTCCGGTTTTTGGAGCCACAGCCAAATCTCTGACGGGAAGCTCCGGGTCTTTCCCCGCAGGCCTGCCGGTGCGGCCGCGGCTCTTCGGGTGCTTCGCCAGCCGGCAGCAGCTCGCGAATTGTCTGCAGAGCGCTTGCGGCGAGGATCGGCCGTTTGGCGAAATTTGAGCGGATCGGGTGTGGCAGTCCGAGGGGAACCCAAAGGGTCTGGGCGTGTGTTCATAGGTGTCCTTTTTGGTTTGCATAGAAAAGATGGGTTCCACTGGTTTAGGTTGGTTGTATTCCATTTACCAGGGCCATCTATTCTTCCAAAAGGCCACATGTGTGTGTGTGTGTGCGCACGCGTGTGTCCTTTTTTTTCAGGGTACCCCTATTTTTTGGTGGCTTGTAAGGGAAAAACCAAAAGGAACACCTCGCCGCCAACTTGGGGGAGCCCTAAGAAAAGACACACCCAAAACGACAAGAAGTTCCCTTTCATGCTCAAACAAGCACGAAAATCAACATCAAACTGGTACAAGATAACCTTGGACTCCAATGAGAAGCTCGAATCAATGGCAACTTTCTTGGGTTCACCATGTCCATTATTCCAATGGGAAGATTACAGCCTTTAAAAAGTCGCCACTTGAAGAAGAAACAGCAGGAACTTTGCAATCATGCAGTTCCCTTTGCAGATTGCTGGTTTGTTCTGTTTTTGCCTTCTTTTCCACTGTAAGAGGGACACGCGGGCGCAAGAATGCCATCCTCGCGGTTTTACTCGGAGGGGGCCAAGGTACTTGAAGTCTCTCTTCTCCGTGTTCAAGGCGGGGGGCCTCGAGCATGCTGCCATGCAACAGATGATTCGCGGCCTGTACCGCAGCTGATTTCTTGTCGTGCTTTTCCTTTGGCGGACGGCCACAAAGAAAGGCTTGATTTGTGACATGTGACCAACGGGGAACCAGCCGTAAACGTCCACGAGCCACTGTCAAATTGCGGGTGTTTTCTTGGTTGATTTGTGCAATGTCACACAAGGGAAAGCGGCCGTCGTCCAGAGATCGCCGCGCTTGAGCGCCAGAGATCACGAGCCATGGGCTTGGGAGTATAATGCAAGCCTCAGGAGATGGCGGAGCTACAGGGCATGCAGCGGATGAGCTGAAGCCCAAAGTGGCGAGCTGCGAGCTGCGGAAGACTTTCGCCTGGAGAGCGGCTGCAAGTGGTTGAACGAATGGGTTTTTTGGCGTTCTGGGGAACTCCGTGCCGGAGCTTTGAACATAAATCATCCGAACTTCTCACGCATCACCGACTTCTCTATGTGGGAATGGCCCTGTACTAGCCGTTTTTGTGTGCTTAGAGCTCATTGATGGGTAGCTATGATTCGTTGGCATGTCTTGCTTTGCCAACAATCGGAAACGCCATCCTGGTGGTAGATAAGCTACGTCGAGATTCAGTGGGGCAGGAGGGCAGCTGGATTCAAACGTCAGTCCATACCTCTCTCTCTCTCTCTCTCTCTCCCTCTCTCTCCCTCCCGTCTCTCTCCCTCTCTCTCTCTCTCTCTCTCTCGCCCTCTCTCGCCCTCTCTCTCTCTCTCTCTCTCTCTCTCTCTCTCTCTCTCTCTCTCTCTCTCTCTCTCTCTCTCTTGCTCTCTCTGTCTCCCTTTGTCCCTCTCGTTCTCTCTCTCTCTCTCAGTGTCCGCATGTTTTTTGCTTTTCCCCGAGCTGCTGCTCTTTCAATGAAGATCATTGGCTATGTTCAAGGTCTCTCTGGGCCACGCGCGCGCACAACCGCAAGCAGAGCATCATCGTAATGTAAAATCTTTGAAGCACTAGGTGCCAATGCGTAGGCATTGCTTTTTGCTGGCTTATCTTTTTCTATCTGCATCAAAGATGTGGATGACGTGCCAGCGTCAAGCTGTGGGAGCTGCATTCTATGCAGACATGCCTGGAACTGTGCTTCCCATCGGCGAATTTCGGCCTGATGGGCTGACATAGCTGCCTTGGAATTCGACGCACAAAGCATGCACAGGTTGACGAGCTTGCGTTGTGCGCATGCAATCCTGTGCAGCGGGTGCAAAGAGCTCATTTCAAGAGCAGGAGGACTGGATAAGACCTTTGTTGGATGAGGGAGTCTCAAGCAAAGCACTTGTGAAACCTGACATCGTTTTGGTACCAGATCCCTGCTCAAAAGGCACACCCTTATTCATGAACCGGGGGGTTCGTTATTGGGGTTCCCGTTGCTTGCTCGTATTCATGAAAGTCCTCTTTCTCCATATTCCTTGAGCATATTTTCGGATTTAGGTGTTTCTTGCAATATGCTACGCCCAGAAGAGTTTCGCTCCTCGGTTCCCTTGAAACTCTCAATAGCCTCCCAAATTTGGGGCACCGACATCACACGCTGATGGCACCTGTTCTGGCTGATGGCTCGCAAAGTGAAGGATTTGACCAGACTGCAGCTAAATGAGCCCCGTACATCGGCCCCTAAAGATTGCAAAGTGAGTAAATGGAAAAAGTTGGGAGGGTGATGACATATTCGAGTGCACTCAGTCAGGTGATCCTTCGAAACCGCCGGTTGGTTTCGCCAGGTGGCTGAAACCGGTCTCCGCTCTCTGAGGCCTGGGTTGGCTTGAGCGAGGCATGGAGCCGATGGGTTCCGTTTGTGCACCCGGTGGCTGTTGTCAAAACCGTTTTGGGATCCCATGGTTGGTGAATTCACCACCCAGTTTGGAACCTATCTTAGTGGAGAATGGGATGTTCACTGGGGCTACGATTTGGATTTTGACCCATGGCCAAGTGAGACCGGCTTGAAGGGGTCAAATTTCGTCTCCCCTTTCGGTTCTTGCGGCAAACCCTTTGTCAGGCTGCCATGCTCCGAGAAGTTGCCTTAGTGACAGCCTGGCTTCCGATTTCACAATCGATGAATGATTGGGCTCCTTGTCCCCAGGGTAACCTATGCTGCAGGCAATGCTGCAGCAAGCGCCCTGTCCCATTCCACTCCCCAGTTACATTTCCCCCCCGGTCACCAGCAAAACGAGTTCCCTGATCTTCGCAGGGTCCCTTGTCCTCCGGCAACCGCTGAATCAACCGGCTTGCCAGTGGCATGGGTGGGCCGCTGGAGGAGGCTGAGGCCGAATGAATGGGCTTGGGGACGGCTGGAGCTGTTTGTCCAGAGATCAATACTGTTGAGTCGGGATGTGGTCGAATGCTCCTGAACCCAATTACTGAAGTGGCAGCCCTTCAGAGGTATGCCCTCCATGGAAATCATCGCACGCAGGGTGTGGGGTGCCTCAAAAATTGGCCAAAGAAGCTGGATTTTGCTTTCCCCGGCCCCGTTTTTGACCTCCAGCTTTCACTTTAAACACCTTCCTTCGCATCTCGAGGACAAACATCGCCAAGTTTTGAAGATCAACTCTGAAGCAGTCTGGTTTGGCCGCCCGAACGGGTTGCGGGGTGCGGTGTGCAGACCTTGGAGCCATTCATTTGGCCATGGGGTCAAAATCCAAATCTCCCCCCCAGAGAACGGGACCCAATCCAACCACTAGGTGGTGAAATCACCAACCAACCAAAATGGGATCCCAAAACGGTTTTGACCCACAGCCAAAGGACAGAACTCGGCTCCTTTCCATACTGCGCACTGCCTGGCCAAGCGTCAGTGGCACAGACCAGGAGCATGTTCTCCCAGTTTTTCTGGCAGCCGTGTGAAGGGGGCATGCAATGGATGACTGCGCTTAGAACACCTGCTTGCCTGGGCTGCTACTTGCTTTGTGGCGTTGATGAGTGTCAGGCCACTCCTTTAGTTCTTTAAGCATGAGGGTGAGGGTGCCTGGTTTAGCAAAGGGCTTGAAAGTCATTAGCAATGACCATGGCTTGGGACAGGCGTATGAGCACTTCCGAAGCGCGGTTCATCTTTGGGACCTTTTGTTCCCCTGCTTGTGTGTGCCTAGGCTACTAAAACCTAAACACCCATATCCTCAAGAAGTTGGTTGCGACACGGATTCTGTGAGCGTTCCGGAAGAAACTTGTACGGATGGAAAGCGTGATATTTCAGCTGGCAAGGTGATTTTCAGCTGGCATCGACCAATTTAAGGGCCTCACTGGCGAAGCACTATTGAGAGAGTCGCCTCAGGTGGCGCCGATGTCCGTCTTCGGGCACAAGATACACCTACTATCCAATGCCACTTCATGGGAGTCCTCCCTTTCCAAAGTCCTCCCCAATTGCTACTCACGGATCTCACTTCGATCTAAAATCCGATCATCCGCTGGTGGTCCAGGGGGAATTCAATTGATATGCAACAACATGCTCAGACCTCGCACATGTGCAGAGTCGCGAGCTTTTGTGAAGGCGCGTCTGAAGGAGGACATGCAGCGGGCAGGGGGACCTGGAACTGGGAAGCAACCATCGCTCAGGTTTGAAACTCCCAGCACGGGTCAATAGTCCAGCATTGTCTGTTTTCATTCGCGGCAAGTGCTTGTCCATGCATCCCTTTGTACTTGCACGGTTTGTGGCTGCTCACCTGTCCAAGCAATTGTTGTCTTTTCTCGAGCTTTCTGGAGATCTAGGCCTAGAATAGGACGGAGCAAGCACACGTCCGCTGCGGACTGGCACGTTGGAGGCCCAGGAGGTGGGTCTCTCACTCGAGGCCAGCCAGCTGGACGAGCAGGTTCTGCTGCAGCTTATGCAGCTGAAGAATACCAGCCCGGGGCACATTTTTTTTTTGTCAGGGTTGCTCTGAACCCTATCGGACAAGGTGGAGGTGATTCATTTGCAAAGGGTTCACCGTCCACAAGTTTGCTGCTTCATGATCTGGGCAAGGATGAAACGAAAGCCTAGCGGAGGTACCGAGAGATAAAGAGAATTAGCTCGTCAATCACTTCTTTCTGTCCCATCAATCATTTCTGGTTCTTTGACGAGCTAATGTAACCTTCATTCTTTTACAATTCTCTTCTCTATATCCTTTTTCACCTCCACATATATAGGATTGTAAGAATCTGCAGTTCTCACCCTTCATTTGTGGAAGCATATAATTGAATGAAGGGATTTGGAGTGAACAGATGAGAAAGGGATAGAAAGAGAAGACAGACAGGTGAAAGCTGGTGAGATAAATGATTTCATGAATGTAGGACCAGCTTTCATTAGCTCTTCTCTTTCTATTTTAATGGGCGCAAGTAAGTGTGTGTGTGTGTGTGTGTGTCCGTGTGTGAGTGTGCGTGTGTGTAAGTGTGTGTAAGTGTGTGTAGGTGTGTGTAGGTGTGAATGGTGTATGTGTAAGTGTGTGTTTGTGCGTAAGTGCGTGTAAGTGTGTACGCGTGCGCGTGTGATGTGTGAGAGAAGAAGAGTTGCACATGAAATTCGGAGCTTGGCCAACCCATGGTTAACGTGTCCGGACAAATTCCCGCCTCACCCCACCCCACACTACCCCCTCCCACACGCCCAGCACGTGGCTGGAAGCTCATGGTCACTCATGACTCGGCGAGCAAAAACGAACAAACCACAACGTAGAACATGGCTCGTGTGTGTTTGTGTGTGTGTGTGTGTGTGTGTGTTTGCTTTCATTTCCAGGGGGGGAAATTGTTCAGCCTTGCCTCGAGCTCACTTGCTTCTCTTCACCGAATGATCCATATGGATGAAGCACTGCAAAGAGGAGGTGTTCTTTTTTTTTTGTTTTTCTTTGCGAGTGAGGTGAGTGACTTGAGACGTGCTTGGCTTTGAAATACCAAGCCTTCAGCATTCATTTCCGATCCGAACCCCAGGGATGAGTTGCAGCCGAGTGATCTGGACATGTTTTTTGGGCCCGCTTGTGCCTGAATTGTCCAGCAAGCAACTGCATTTTATTTTGAGCGCGCTCGCGGCAACTTTTGGGTGAACCCAATGCTCGGCACAACAAACCATATTTCGGCTCCCACTACTTTAAGACCTGCCCAGTTTGTATTTTGGCTGGTTTTCAAAGGGACACTTCATGGAAACCCTGAGAGAAGTCCCTAAAGAAAATTCCCGGCGCGGTGTTTGGGGTCCAGTTCTCTATGGGTTTTCTGGTGGGCATTCCGAGCATAGGCGTCCTTTGTGGTTGTTTTGGTCGAAAATCGATGGGTTTCGATTCCTGGTTTTTACCCGTTTTTTTCTCTACCAGGGAAACCATTTTTTTTCCCCCTAAAAGGACACCTGGGCCTTCCGAGGTGTGGATGTGGTGAAGGTGCCCTGGGCCTCTTTAGTGCAGATCCAGGCGGAGTACTTCATGGCGCAACAGGCCACTCGGCCACTCGGGGCGGGCGGAATCTTCAGTCGAGTTGTTCGCGGGGTTCACGGGAAGCCGAGGTCAAGCCGTTTAAGCGGAACCGCTGAAAGGACCAGTGGAGCTTTTTGCACGAGCCAACTGGCTCTGAACATGTCCCTTTCAACCATTCCCACTGTCTTCGTGCACGAGCCAACTAGCCTTTGAACAACTGGGTTTCAACCATTCCCGGTGTTGTGAAAAAATACTTCGCTTCGAGCAATTCCCACCCTCCACACTCGCGAGCTTACGACCGTGACACGGTTGTGTGAATTTAAGCGTGGTTTTCGAGTGGCTTGGGGCCTATCACTGCTCAACAAGCTTTGCATTGAGAGCCTTATCCACCTGTTTGTGTGTCAAACTCCACTTGTCTGCGAGCCGATCTCGAGAACTCAAACATCGGTTCCGTTAACAAAAGCCAAGCCCCTTCCAAAAAGAAACCCGACGGGGGATTAAACGAAGTTGCGTATTCACAACCCAAAGCAACACAAAGGCATCACCCTTTCCGAGCCTCAGGGTACACTCAAAACACGAAGGCACCAACATGAAATGTAAACCCAACTGTGTACCGGGCGGGACATTAAGCAAAACCAGACTGGCGAGCTGCTCTGATGGGATACTGGCGGGATCCACTGGCAAACACCGGCGAGCCGCGGGATCCACTGGCGGGCTGCTCTGGTGGGATACTCGGCGGGACCCACTGGCGAGGGGATACTCGGCGGGATCCACTGGCGAGCAGCTCTGGCGGGATACTCGGTGGGATCCACTGGCGAGCTGCTCTGGCGGGATACTCGGCGGGATCCACTGGCGAGCTGCTCTGGCGGGATACTGGGTGGGGGCGTGGTGCAGAAGCATCGCAAACGCGCATTGCAACATAAAATCTAACCACCCCTTCCTGTCGGGTGGGGAAAAAGAGTTGGCATCTTGGTTCCCCTTTCTTTAGGTAGCAAAACCCCGCGCATTTTGGCAGAGACACCCAGGACATTTGAGGGCAGCAAAGATGTTCCACGGTCTTCGGGATTCAAAGGAAATCAATACGTTGAAGGTGGGTCAAGTGACTTGGTAGTTACTAGTTTCTTTTTGATATTGCTTTTTTTAAACCGGGATTTGAGGGCCAGCGCTTCAAGAAGTTCAGGGTTGGTGCTTTCTTCGTTCTGTATGATCCCATGTTAGTTGTGTACATTGGTTGCGGAGTGCCAAGCGAATCCATTGAGCATGAAACTGCCTGTACTTGGGGAACCGCACTTTAAAAGGATCTTCCCCCGTTTTGAAGTGAACCTGGCCAGCAACATGCTTATTCTTCACTCCATTTTGGCTATTTTTGGCTGAATTGCCAGTTTAAACTTGAGCGAGAAGTCGCACATCTGCTTGAGAACCATGCCTCGCAGCCCAGGCAAAGGCCCAGAGCAGAATGCATTGGCACAAGCAAAGCCAACCACTTGATCATGGCCGACTTCTACCTTCTTGACCCCGTCAAACAAGGACGTCAGGAGAAAAACCTTTTTGCCTCTTCATCGATCACGTTGGCGCATTCCCGGTTTCGACATTACCCCGTCCGAGATTCAAGCTTTGTGAAGGCATATCAAGCATGGGTGGCATATATATATATATACACATGCACCTTCGTATCTATCTTTTGTGGCCCCTGACATGCAAAGCTCTGAGTCAAAATCCGGCGGACTCATGGGCACTTAGCTGAAATTCAGCCTGCTACCTTGCTGAACAAAAACGGCATGCCCCCTGAAAGTGGCCGGTTTTGTCTTTTCCGAGCTCCCAATGGGTATCAGGCTCCATGGACTGAAAGACCAGCGCTCAGGTGGCTTGGGCACCGCTGGGCGAAGCCTTCGACGACTACGGGGGCCTCGCCTCGGTGCAAATCACCTGAGCCGAGTCGCGAAGAAAGCGTTGCACGCGCGCGCGCGCAAGCGGCCGAATTGCAGATGGGACGGGAGTTGCATGGCGGAGTCGAGCGCCGTGCCCACCCGAAACGGATCTCAAGGTCCAAACAAGGAGCCAGCTGCATTGTCTGGCCTCTTACAGCGTGCACGAGTTGACAGGGATGCCGGGGTGCCTGTTCAGGACTTGCGATCTAGGAGGCTTTCAGTCGGAGCAGGTGGATTGGAGTCCGTCCTTGCATACAGGCTGTCTTTCTGGACTAAGGCAAGTTCTTGTCGTGTGCTAGGATTCTGGCTCTTTGTCAACAATCCGGGTGTTCTAGCTCAGTATCCTATGTCGGTGCCAGAGTCAAGCAAACTTATATGTAAACACACTACCACTATATCAGCTTACATGTCAGATTGTCCCCCCAACCAGCACCAGCAACCCGGTCAGTTTGGATCATTGTAGGGGGCGGCCCAAAGTCCTATCACATTGGCTGGGATGACCCAAGATGTACGTACCTTAATTTGATTTGTACCACGTGTGTAGACCAAATGGATGGTACAGACCATTTGGGTATGTGTCAAACGAGACCACAAAGAAACCGCAGGTTTTAGTCCTTGGTTCCATTTGCAAGGGTTCCATTCTGGGTACCTATGTTTGACAGACCATTTGGTTCGAATGTTCAACGGCCACCAACTCGCCGTCCACCGCTCCGTCCAGCTCCGTAGCGGATTGGAATCCGCGCGCAATGAAGGTCGCCCAGGCGGGCGACTGGCGTTCAAGAGGTGTGAGGCACGGACCAAATGGTTGGTTCAATGGTGTCCTTTTGTCTTTAAGAATTCCAAACGGGCGGCATTTGGCAAAAGGAGTTTTTTTTTTTCTTCGCTTTTGGCATCTTGGCTTTTTGGCTTCTTGGCTTTTTGGCTTCTTGGCTTTTTCGGCTTCTTGGCTTCTTGGCTTTTTGGCTTCTTGGCTTCTGGGCTTTTCGGTTTTTTGTTGGTTTATGCGGCTTTTAGTGGCTTTTTGGCTTTGGCTTTTCGCATCCTCTGCATTCCCAGTTCCTCTTCGGCACGGCTTTTGGCGGCTTTTGCTTTTCGCATCCTGGCTTTTGCACCCTTTCATTGGTTTTTGGATTTGCAGTTTCTCCCTTTGAATCATCACTTCTTCCGACATCATGGGGGTGGAACTGGAACCCCCCCCCAACCCACCCGCCACTGTTTAGATTTTTTGCAGAGTAATTGCACCCCTATTTGAATCAACACTTCTTCAAACATCATGGGGGGGGCTGCCGCCCCCCCCTCCAACCCCCCCGCTACTTTTTAGATTTCTTGCAGAGGTTGCATTGCACCCCTATTTGAATCATCACTTGTCCAATTTCGCGAGAAAATGCTGCAAAATACGACATTTTAGGTAATCTGTGTAATCCATGTATGTCTGTATGTATGCACTTCTTCGAACATCATAGGGGAAGCCACCCCCGCCAACCCTCCAGCTGCCTTATCAACTTATAAATTCTATCGCACCCTTTCTTGAATCATTGCGAATCATCACTTCTTCCGACATCATGGGGGGGGAACTGGAACCCCCCCCAACCCACCCGCTACTGTTTAGATTTCTTGCAGATGTTGCATTGCACCCCTAGTTGAATCTTCGAACATCATGGGGGGGGGGGCTGCCGCCCCACCCAACCCCCCCCGCTACTTTTTAGACTTTTTGCAGAGATTGAATTGCACCCCTATTCGAATCATCACTTCTGCCAACATCATGGGATATTTTGTTTACAGGGACTGAAATGCCCTCCTATTTGAATCATCATTTTTTTTGACCCCGTCAACCCGCCAGCTACTTTTTCGTTTTTTCACCCACGATTTGTTGGTGATGCTAGGGATGTTGGTTGGACATGCGGGGGATGTTGAAAACGATGCTGGGGATGTTGCGGGGCTAGTGTAAAATGCGTCAATTTCGCGACAACATGCTGTAAAATACGACATGTTACTGGCCCGGACGAAAAACGAAAAAACATCTCAAACAAATCAGAAAAAAAACATCCAAAAATAAATCCGCACCCTTGGCAAAATTCAAGGAATTCCAAGAGGGCGGCATCTGGCAAAATTTATTGAATCAGCATTTTGCAAAATTCAAGGAATTCCAAGAGGGCGGCGTTTGGCCAAGAGGGCGGCATGTGGCAAAATTCACGGAATTCCACGAGGGCGGCATTTGGCAAAGTTCAAGGAATGCCAAGAGGGCGGCATTTGGCAAAACTCAAGGAATTCCAAAAGTGTGGCATTTGGCAAAAATCAAGGAATTCCACCAGGGCGGCATTTGGCACAATTCAAGGAATTTCAAGAGGGCGAAACCAAGAGGGCGGCAGTTGGCAAAACTAAAGGAATTCCAAGAGGGCGGCATTTAGCAAATTGCAAGGAACTCCAAAAGGGCCGCATTTGCGGAAATTCAAGGAATTCCAATTCCGCGGCATTGGGCAAAATCCAAAGAATTCCAAAAGTGCGGCATTTGGCAAAAATCACGGAATTTCAAATGGGCGGCATTTGGCAAAATTCAATTGGGCGGCATTTGGCAAAATTCAAGGACTTCCAAAAGGGCGGGATTTGGCAAATGGTTGGGTTACGTATTTCAAGCAATCTGCTCGTTCTGGGTGTCCTTTCAGGGTTCGGTGCTGCAACATTGGTGGCAACGGACACGGTTGAGAAGAAGCAACAAAGAACGGCATGTTTCCCGCCCGCCACCGGGCAGCGCAGTCACCAGATGGCAGGTGCTCGTCACTTTGGATGGAGTAAGGTGTTTGTTCAGGCTTTGTCAGTTCTTGGAGAGCTGCTTCCATGGATTGCAGCCGGTTTTCTCCAACTTGCAGCATTTATTTTGGTGGGGGGGCTGGGGGCTGGGGCCTTGGTTGAGTGGTGACCTCTTTGGGTTAGAGTTGAACTGGGGAAACAAATCTCCAGCGGACTGCGCCAGGTCGCCTGGGTGCTCGCCGGGGGCCTCACAAAAGCGCTGTGGGCGTTGCCTGGGTTGGGTGGAGGCCCCCAGCTAGGTGCCCTTTTTAACCCCTTTTTTGGTTGGGAGGGTTCCCCTACTAAAATAGACAACAGAAAATACATCGGGTACCCTTATTCTATCCTCTCTACTGGAGGACCTAGTTGGGTTCAGGCCCCGGGAAGATTCCATCCCGAGGCCTTCGCCATTGCTGCGGCCAAGGAGCCGTTGCTTGCCTTTTCGGGGGTGAGTGTGATGTGCGTGTGCGACGATGCGACGATGCCGAGCGGCAGATCGGCATTGATCAACGCCGTCGGCTGCAACTGGATTGGAGCAGTCGAATCAATCTCGTATGGGCAGTTTCTGCAGAACGAAGAGCTTTTTGGAGCAACCTTGACATGTCATGTGTGATTTCCGAAATTGCGGAAGGCCATCTCCAGCCCAATCTAAGTGCCTCTTTGAGGCTTTTCTGTCAAACTCATTGCAGCCATGGCCCGGGCGCTACTCCTCGTGGCTTCTCTTTGCACTGCCTACGCTATGCGGAGCAGAGAGAAGGAGAGTCAATTCGAGCCAGAGTATGAGGCCACGTTGCGCAAGTACACGGATGAAATGATTCACGAAGTGGAGGAGGTGGACAGTAAGCTCCCGGCGCATGACGATCATGTGGTGCCTTTGCTTGCGGAGGTGCAAGTGGCAGAGACGTTGCATGACATCGGCGGGCTGTCCAACTTGACCTTCACCATGTCCGTTGAGAGGGAGAGCCCCGGCTTCGAGGCGAGGCTGAGAGTCACCAACAGGAGCCTTGCTGCGGCGTTGGTGAGCGCAATGCGCCGGGTGGCCAATGCCAGCCTTCCACCGTCGCTGGGCTCGCTCGTGAAGATTTCCAGCAGCAGCCGCTGGCACCACGAGGAAATCACCATCACAGTCGGGCCATTCCAGATGCCTCCTCCGGCGGCAGCTGCCCTGGAGACATTTGTCGCACATTTCGGGCACCTTGAGTTCTCGGAGTACCAGGATGTGGACTGGAAGAAGGTGATGTCCAACCTCACCGAGGACACCAATATCCTTGAGAAGTTCTTCTTCGGCATGAGGTATGTGCTGAACGCCACCTTGACCACCGGCCTAGAGCACGCCATCGGAAATGTGGTCAAGGCACATAGGGAGCCGGAGTACGAGAGAGCACACGAGTACGACGCGGTGAATGTCTCATGGGTAGATCCTTATACCCGCACATATACAGGGGAGATGATCACGCGGCGCTATCTGACGTGCCAGGCCCGCGAGAGCCCCTGTAGCACGAGCAGTGAAGGGGACTGCTGCGACACCTCCGTCTGTTTGATCGATAAGGAGATACAGTGCTCTCACAACTTCAGCGCTTGCATTCCGTACTGCGTGCACAGCGCCGAAGATCCGAGCATCATCGGCACCGTTGTGCAGAAGCTTGGTGGCCTGTTCACGGGTGCCTTCGCGAGTGTGCGGGCGGCCTATGACGAGGAGACCCGCAAGGAGCTGATCCACATGCTGCCGCTGCTGGGGATGCGCTACAGCGACATCACCCAGCAGTACGCCAGCGTGTTCCACCGCCTCCCCGCACAGTTCCTCGGAAGCCCTTCAGCCCTGGCGCTGGCGGAGCTGGTGAATGTCTTGGATGGTATTGATAGCATCGACTCGCTGGAGCTGACCGGCTTGCCGGTGAAGGCAAAGGTGACCATGAGTTCCTCCAGCAGCCCCTTCCCGTTGCTGGCCAAGTTCCTCAAGGATGCCCAGCTCGTTGAGACCTTGCGGAACCACAGCATCGTCAAAGGGGTCAATGAGACAAACTATACTGGCTCTAATGTGAGCGCGTGAGCTGCGCTGCGCGTGCGGAACACGCCCTCCAGCAGGCAAAGAAAAGGAGCCTCCATTGAGGTTGAGCCACGTGATGACTCGGTTGTCTTGTTTGTGACTGGACGCGGTCAGGACACCAAGCACCTGCAAGCCTTCCTTGGAGAGCTTCAGAGGAGGGACCGGGAAGGCTTCACTCACTGCTGTTGAATTGTGACCGGGGGTCCCTCATGTCTTTTGACAGTGCGGTGGGCGGCACAATGAGAGCATGCATGGCGTTTGAAGACTCATTCTTTTTGGCTCAAAGTTTTATGGGGGGCGCTTTGGTAGTGTCAAAGGTGGGCTTGCATGGTGGAATCGCTGCCCACCATTGCTGTTGCAGGCTTGCCACACTATCAAGCAACCAATCAGACAATCGAGCTTGCAGGTCAGCCATGGATCTTTCAGAAGCAATATTGGATTCTTGACTGCGGGCGCCCAGTGTGCATATGCATTTGGCTATGAATTTTGATAGGGAACCCTCCGAAGAGTGGTTGGTGGACACAAACCACCTAAATGATGTCCACCAGTCCATTGAAATTCACGCCCATATGTGGGGCTTCCTTGAATAGCACACCCTTAGTGGGCGAGGGAGAATGAAAAAGATTTGCGGGTGTTCCCACGACTGAGGCTGGCCAAAGTGTTGACATTTCTGCCTGCGGATAATTCTGCTTGACCTGCATCGGTGGGCAGACTTGCAAACGTGGGGCAAAAGACAGGCTGCCCATCTTGTTCTGGGATCTCCGAGCGGCGAGACCTATGTCCTCTCCAGGTCAATTTGGATCACCGATGCAGTCAGTTCGATTCGGTTTTACATTCCACTCGTTTTTTCCACCGGAATCCGCTAAGTCTTTCAACTAACACGGCACCTGTGAGGTACCTGGAAGATGAATTTCCCTTTGAAGGGACCCCCTGTCAGTTGCCATGTGTGAGGGAGGGTAAGTCTTCAGGCCGAGGTTCGGAAGCAATTGGTCCAAAAGTCCATCCCGTTCGCTTTCCACGAGCTTCTCCAGGAGGCTCTCAGAGGAGCAGCAGACAGACCAGCAATGGCGGGAGCAGAGGCGGTCGGTCCCTTCTGTGGCTCAGTTTTGGTCGGAGTTGGTGCCCCTTTTTTGGCCGGTTTCAAAAGGACAACTGACAATGTATTTTGGGGGCCCGATTCCTAAAAAAGACAGACCCAGGTGCTCAAACTGAGTCTCTGTGGTGACACATCCCCTTTGCACGGGCGGGGGGGGGGAGGTTGGGCGTAGATTTTTGGTCAACCCATGCCCAAGGTATTTGGTTTGCACCACTTTCGATACTTGAACACAGGATACCCTAACAGCATCGAGTGTTGCTCATGAATCTCGCATTGCACCCTTTGGACGTCCCTGGGCAAGAAAGGGCCATTGGGCTCCTTTTCTCTTCTTCCTCTCAAATGGCTTCAGATGCCCTCAAGACTCAAGGGTTCTCTCCAGGTCTGTCAGGTCTATCATGAGTGCCTCTTCATGCCATTCTGTGCTGCAAACGTTTGAATTGGTCCTGGCGGTGGAGAGCATGTTGAGGTTCGTGGGCAGCCTGAGGAATTTTGGGATGTTGAGAAAGCCCACAGATGAGGAGATTTCAAGGCGAGCCCCGATTTGCCGGGGGCGTAGGGGCTCCGGGTCGATTTGGAGGCCTCCTCATGACTTGGCTGGCGCGCCTTTCCGGGGGGCCAATTTGTCGGCCTCGGGCACAGAGATGGCGATGCGATACATCTTAAGGTGGACTCCAGCGGTGATGTCTTACCGTGGAGCTTTGGGGTCACCAAAAATTGGAACACGGGGAAAGTTTCCCCTAAGACTGGTTGGCTTCCTTGCAGTTTTTCATGTCTCACTTCCTGAGTTCATGAACTTTAAACCTTTTGGGAAGACCATTTTAGTGGTAAATTTAAAGTTCGGACTTTTTTTTGGGGGGCCATCCACTCAGCCAGTGAGAGTAAAACTGGGGCCTTTTCACCGAGGCTTGGAACCCCTCCGCGCCGTTGCCACGGCAGGCAGAGCTGGTGCCGGGATCACCTCCAGCTGCTCGCCGAAGAGGCGGCGCGCGGCGAAGGCGGCGGGGGGGGGGGTTTGTGGTGGGGGATGATGGGTGATGGCACGCATTCCAAATGTATCTGCCTTCTTTTGACTTGTCCCTTTTTTGGTTTGTGGTTTCAAAGGGAAATCAAAACGGAGAACGTTGCGCGATTTTGGGTTTCAAATGGCCAAGCCCGAGAAAGAATCGCTTCGCTGCCCGCCTCGGCCAGCATCAGCTGGATTCTTTTGGTCGGCTTTCACGTGTGAGTTTACTAGAGGTTTCAATGTGGGCAATTCTTTTTTGGAATTCGGGCCCCCGTACTTTTGGAAAACGCAAGTTTCGGTTAGAGGAACTTCTACTTAGTAGAAGGGATGACACCAGAAGAACAATGCAAGCTAAAGAGACTGATGCCGCGGTTGGGTTAAGCAGTGTGTGCAGGCAGCGCAAAGCGGCGCCAGGAACGTGGCACAGTGCTGCCGCTCTGTGTGGCCCAGGGCTTGCCTTCGCGCAAAAAGACTTGGAGCTTGAAAGGCTTTAGCAAAAAGATCACCAGAGGCGCACTCGTTCCGCCGTTGTTCCAAGTTTGTTTCTGGTGAAGTGGGAGGGCGCCTATCAACCAGCGCAAGCACCTGACCTGAATTGACTCGCTCTATGCCAACCTTTTTCTCGCAGTGAGCTCCACAATGGCTGTCAAAACCAGCTGGCTGCCGATGAAGCACAAAGATGACTCATCAGTCACAATTCTGGAACCAACATCTGTGGCCCGTCTCCGAATCGCTTCGTCCCGCGATGCACCAGAAACAGGCGTACTTTGTCCGCTGTGCGCGACGCGGAGCGTGACAAAATTGCTCAGAATGTGCTAGCCTATGGGCTCTTATGTGTTGACCGGCCCCAGGAGTTCCAACCGCTTGGGCGCATTTTGGACCTTGACCCCTTTTCCCATTGTGAATCTCCGGAAGAGGCGCCGGCGTTTGCACGTGCGCGCGCACGACGTTGAGTGGGCCTTTTGGAGCATCAACCTATCAGCTGCAGCAATGCCTGGTGGCTGGAAGTGAAAGCGTGCTTGGGACGCTTTGTAGGAATTGTCCATGCTGCTCTGTAAGAACACGACCAGTTGCACAAGAATGATGTGGGCCCAGTCCAGCTGAGCTGTCAGGCCTGGCCGTTGCCAGAAGGGGCAGGCCATAGGCAGAGGTAGTCCAAGATAGTCTTGCAGTCGGGCTGGGCTTGCTTCAGGGCAGCTACTTCCCTGCCTGGGGCCGAGGCGAATTGGGCTTGAACGATTTCCGGATTGCTTCGGACCAAATTCTACCCTGCGAAATCGCCTTGCGTGTTGGACCCACCCCCCCCCCGGCAAAAGAAAAAGAATCCTGAGGATCCCTAAAAAAAGATGCTGCTCTCAAAAGAGCGTTTATTTCACGCGCAGAGCCAGAGAACTTGCTTTCTGCTGTTAAGAATGCGGTGTGTTTCGAGGTCCACTATCCGGACCTGATAGTTTTTTTGCGCCGAAGAAAGGGCTCGACAGGGCCAGCTCTGCCCAGAGCATTTCCCAGTTGTGTATTCTTTTAACCTCCTGCTTGAGGGCAGGTTGTGAGTTTTTTTTGCCCTGATTCTGAGTTTTGACTTGATTTCTAGGGAGAACGTGCCTTCTTTGGGCAGGCGTGGTGGAGAAACTGCGTCGGGATCTCAAGGAGCTCAAGACCCAGGAGCAACGAAGTGGCCGAGGGTTGTGGCGGGAGGGGACGTGTGTAGGGGGAAAGGTGTTGGTTTCAAGTCAAAGCTCCTGTTTCGGAGGGTCCAAAACAGGTGACCTCCAACACCGGCCATTCCCCTTTGGCTCCTTCGGGGAGATGGAGCTCTTTAGGCGAAAAGCCTGCTTTCTTGGGTGCAGCCTGCCAAGTTGATTCGGAGCTCGAATAAAGGCGCAGGGAAATGCACGTTGATGGCCCACGTTGCCTGCACAAGTTTCTCCCAGATAGCAGCTTGACCCCTGACTCCCATCCTCTCTGACCAAGTGGGTGCAATAGCAATTTGAACAAGTGCAGCTTGACAAACAATATTTGTTGTTTGGGACTACAGGGTAGCTACTTGATGCGAAGTGTTTGGAGCAAGCGGTAAGCGCTTGATCAAACACTTTTCCAGACATGGAGGCAAATGCTTGACGCCCAATTTCACATCAACCTGGAAGCCCCTAGGACACCCGAGGGGTTCACTCTTACATGGAAGTGCGCAAGTTCATCGCAGCCCAATGCGGCAAAGAAACCGAACACACTTCCAGATCGATTTGCGAAGCCTGGTGGTTTGGCTTGGGCAATCATCTTCTGCCTTTGCAGCTGCAGCCTTGTTTTTGTTTAAACCAATCTCGGTTGGTTTCTGGCTTCCCTGGCTAGCTTTGCCACTTTGATCAGGATGAGAACCCCGCCATGATTCAGTTGGCGCAGGCAGCTTGGCGGTTGCTTTTTTTTTTGCTTGGGAAACCACGATGACCCTAGCGCGGTAAATGATGCCGGAGGGGGGTGATTTGGGCTTGTGAAATGGAGTTGGCTGCTGGCCGCGTGCCTAAGGCAGGAGAGTGGGTGATGCAGCGTTCATTTTTTTGATTTCACATGCATTTCTTTGGGTCGTAGGAAGAAGTAGCAGGCTCCATCGGCGGTGTCACAACGATTGTGGCGACCTCACGACAACAAACTCCCTCCCCCCAATCCCTGATTTTAATTTTTAGCGTCCCCTCAGAGAACTTGCGAGTTTTTGTGTGAGCTCTTGAAAAGGGAGTCAAGTAAAACATTACCATTGCTTGCTGAGTGTCGTTTTGCTTTCCTTGGGGATGGCAAAAAGATCTGCCAGGGTGGCAATGCCACGGCGAGCCGCGCTTTGGTCAGTGCGAAGGTGCCGGGCCTCGGAACCGATTCGAATTAACGTACAGTTGGCCAATGTGTCCGAGATCTGGA